ACAAACTGTGCCTGGCCACGGAGCCTGCAAGGAGGAGCAGAGACAGCCCTGGCAGTGTGGGGGGCCAGGTTGTCCCTGTGCCTTCCCCTGCAGGCCCTGTCTGTCCCTGCTGGGCCCCTGTCCATCCCCATCAGGTCCCTGCCCGTCCCCCCGGGCTGAGCTCCCCCCAGGAAGTGCCGTGGAGCTGAAGCTGCTGCCATCCCCCCCTGCAGCCGCTGCCCCAGCCAAGGGAGCAGCAAAGGCAGGGCCAGGAGCAGAGGCAGCAGCAGGGGAGCCCTGGGGGGGCCGGGAAGCTCTTGTGTGGGTCAGGAAAGAGGCGCTGGGCACGAGGCCGGGGCTGTGCTGAGCAGGCCCAGCCCTCACATCCCCCCAGCCAACGCCGGCTGCCCGGGGGGCTTGGGAGGGACCCCCAGCCCGTGTGCCCCACACTGAGCTGGCAGAGAGAGAGCCAAGGGACAGGGCCACGGGCAGGGCCACGGGTGAGGCCTATGGGACACTCCACCCGAAATCTTTCGGGGAGTCCTTTTGTGTCTGTTCTTGGTTGTTGATTTCTGCTGGGGACCTGAGGGCCCCTCTGCAATCCCATCCATGGGGCACAATTTCCTCTCCAGAGCTTGACTCACTGCAGACTTTGCAGGGAAATCTGTGCTGGCAGCCTGAGTATGTCCTGACCCCCTGTGCTCCCCCCGGATCTTTGGGACAAGTTCCCTCTTCCTGGGCATCCACAGGATGAGGGGGGAGGCACTTGTTTTCCTGCTGCTCCTGTTCCTGCTCCCCCCTTCCTGCTGCTGTCGGATCAGCGGAGCAGCCACAATGGGAAATGGGTGAGAGAAGTGACCCAGGTCACTTCCACCACTGAAACGGTGGAAGCAGAGAAAGGAAAGCCTGGATAGTGGGGGCCTCTGGGATCCCGAGGACAACAGAGTGGAGAACCTGGAGAGGGGGAATATCTGGGAACGCGGTTCCCTGAAGGCGAGAATCAGAGGAGAAGGGACCCTTGGGACCCCCAACACTCCCAGCATCCCAGACAGGGGAGACCCTCCGAACCCCAGAGGGGAGACATGAAAGAGGAGGAACTTCTGGGAGAAATTTCTTGGGATAATCTTCATATTTTGGAGTATTTTTAGCTGAATTTCAACTTTTTGCAGTTTGGGGAATTAAGGGTCTTCTTGCTATTTCTGAGGGGTTTTTGCGTGAATCTGGGTGTTTTGGGTTTTTCTTGGTCTGAATCTTGGTGTTTGGGAGGTTTTTATGGTCACAGGATGCCCGGTGAGTTCTAGAGATGGACTTGGGCAGGAGGAACCCCCAAGCCAACGCGCTCAGCCCTTGTTTTCCCCCCATCAGGATTTGTCCTTCCCAAAGCTTGGTCGGATGGAGGAGGAGGCTGCGAGGAAGAGGAAGATGCCTTGGTCCCCCCAGGCAGGTGAGGAGGAAGTCAGTGTCCCTTTGGGCGGGTGTTGTGCTGGCTCTGTCAGCCGAGCATGGCCCCGGCTGCAGGACAACCCCGCTGGCGCCGCCGTCCTGCCGGGGCCGGAGTTGGGGGGATGTCCTTGGCCTTCCCTGTGGGCCGGAGGCAAATCCCCTGCCTGTCCTTCTTGCTTCCTGCCCCAGGCCCCGAGGTGAGGAGGGAGAGCCCGGAGGACAAATCCCCCCGTGAGACCCTGGTGGGAGAGGCCGTTTTGAAGGGCTCCCCAGCGCAGGAAGGCAGCGGGGAGGAAAAGGGCCGGAGATCCCCCCACAGGAGGGGCTCCAAAGCCATCCCAGGGTGCTCTGAGGAGGAAAGAGCCAGCCTGTGCTGGGAAGGCGGCCGGAGCTTGAGGGGGAGCTCTGACCTGGTGGTCCCTGAGCAACCTCCCAGCAGGGAGAAGCCCTTCAGGTGCTTGGAATGTGGGAAGAGCTTCAGGAGGAGCACCCACCTCCTCACCCACCAGCTCATCCACACTGGGGAACGACCCTACACGTGTGGGGAATGTGGGAAGAGCTTCAGGAGCAGCTCCAGCCTGATCCAACACCTGCACATCCACACTGGGGAAAGTCCCTACCTCTGTGAGGAATGTGGGAAGAGCTTCAGGCAGAGCTCCAACCTCCTCACCCACCTGCACATCCACACTGGGGAAAGTCCCTACCTCTGTGAGGAATGTGGGAAGAGCTTCAGGCAGAGCTCCCACCTCCTCACCCACCAGCGCATCCACACTGGGGAACGGCCCTACATGTGTAGGGAATGTGGGAAGAGGTTTCAGAGCAGCTCCAATCTCCTGAAGCACCAGCAGACGCACACGGATGAGAGGCCCTTCCGCTGCACCAACTGTGGGAAGGGCTTCAACCAGAACTCCACCCTCATCACCCACCAGCGCATCCACACTGGAGAGAGGCCCTACAAGTGTGGGGAGTGTGGGAGGAGCTTCACCCAGAGATCGCATTTGACCAGACACCAACAGACGCACTGATGATGGAAGCCCTGTGAGTGCCCCGACTGCGGGAAGAGCTTCGGCCGTAGGACTGACATTTTTGAGTATCTGCACTCCAACATCAGTTTATTCTTTTGAATATGTGTAAGTTTAACCTCATTTTAGTCTGAAAGCCAAATTCACCAGTACCCCATTCCCTGATAACCGTGGGCTGATTCTGACAAGTGAGGCACAAATTACCCACTGCCCAGCAAAAACCAGTGGGGCCAGCCAGTGGTCTCTGCCCTGGCAGCCCAGTTTCCCCAGTCTCATCTCAAAATGACCAGTTACACTGAAGCAAAGAGCACTGGAACCAGTGCAACAAGCCCCAGTCTGACTTTCACACCTGCCCACGTGTCCTGTTTCTGCTGCTCTACAGACTTCCTTGTTTAAAATACAATGGGAAAATGAACAGGTTTTGGGGTTGTTTTGGTTTTGGGTTCGGGTGGTTTTTTCCCCCCACTGTTCTCATTAACCTCATTTCAAATCTATTTCGGTGTTTGAAGATGAATTAAAATTTTGAATGATTTTTAATGTTAATGCCTTGACCAAAGTATCAAAACATGAAAAATAAAAAAAAAAAACACACAAAGCTGTCCATTATTGTCACAGTCAAACACTCAGAAGTACTAACATGAGAACAGTGAAAACCCCATAAATAAGACCATTAAAATAATTTTAATATTTATATATTATTATATTTTTACTAAGCTTAACATAAGGAAATTTACTTCCTGACATCAGCTTTCCCCACCTCTCAAAAAGGTAATTTAGTTACATCTTAGTCACCCTTGAAAGGCTCTTTCCAGTTGGGTTGGCCTCTGCCTTAGACACTCATGAGATCTGCCAAATCCAGTTTTAAGGGCAAATTTCCCCACCAGGTTCAACTGCATTGCTTTTCCCAAAAACTTTGCAAGTAACCCCACAACTTTCATCTTAAACTCTTCTCTCAACCTTGTAAAATAATTAGCAGTAAACAGACCTGGTAATGTGTTATAATTAAGAATTTCTTGTTCTCAGAGTTATTCATACACCAAAAAGATGCCACAGGAACGGCCAAAATATTAATAGCAACTTCTACACTTTGGAAATCTACATTTGGTTTTTAAAGATTTCACAGTGGTTGTTTCCTTAGGAATTCAGGCACATTTTACTAACAAGTTTCAATACAGTTACAAAAACATCTTCCTCCACTAAGACACATGCAGTCATCCTAACCTGAGGTGGACACTGAAAAGCCCAATTTTTTTCTTAGCTGTCACGAGTCTTTCATTCCTTCTGCCACATCAATTAGGCATCAGCCCATTTTTCAAGCTGCTGTTACCTACCAGCTCCTGGTTTGGTTTCCAAGCCCAGTATTTTGGCCACGATAAAATCAGGGACCTGGGCAGTCCTGTCAGAATGACAAAGAGTACTGACCCTCCCTGCCAGGGGAGACAAACCATTCCCAACCTCGACCAAAGGGTCAAGGCAACGATTCTGAAACAAAATTTACAAAGTTTTTCTCTTCAGTTTTTTGCTGAATACCATTTTATTTGAACATTTATTTTTTTTAAACATTTTTTATATATTTACATTTTTTTATATTTAAGGCGCAGGAATTCAAATTTATATTTGGGTACCATTTTATTCAAATATTTATTTTATTTAAACATTTTTTACGTATTTATATTTTTTTATATATTTAAGGCAAAGGAATCTGAATTTATATTTGGATACCATTTTATTTAAACATTTATTTTATTTAAACATTTTTTACGTATTTATATTTTTTAATATATTTAAGGCAAAGGAATTTGAATTTATATTTAAGTACCATTTTATTTAAACATTTTATTTAAACATTTTTTATATTTTTATTTATATTTTTTTAAATATATTTAAGGCATAGGAATTTGAATTTTTTCTGGATACCATTTTATTTAAAAATTTATTTTATTTAAACATTTTTTACATATTTATATTTTACCATCAGATGTTCTGTAAGCACAGCAGTCAAAGCACAACTCATGTAGGTTTGGGTATTTTTAGCTAAGGCTGTTTGCCAGGTTTCTCACATTTAGAGAGGAATTCCCAGTAAGATGTGACTATTCACAGATGCACTCTTTTTTGGGTGTTAGTTTGAAATTATAAACTGTATTGCATTAAGCAAAGTATGTCAACTTCAATAAAGCTTCAGTAAAGTGTTTTCAAGTATTTTCCCTCTTCTCTTAAACAAATGGAAAATAAAAATCGGTGCTTCAACTAAACATTATCTGTGCTCACCAGAGAGGGCAATACTGGATCTTTCAGGATCCACACATTTGGATGCTTTTGCAATTGGTGTTTGAAGCAACTTCTTTTGTAGACAACTGTTTCACCAAGTAAATTAAGGCTTTCACATTCAGCCCCTCCCTTTAGGTAAGGATTACAAACCAGAAAAGGAGGGAAGAATTACTCGGTGTGTAACTGAAAGGCCAAAGTCCTACCCAAGAAACCAGATGTGACAACAGCTCATTTACAACCCAGTGAGAAAACCAACAAAAATGCACACAGAAAGATTCAGGAGTCATGTGAAGATGAATATAAAAATGGAACATGAGTCACATGTTTTAGAGATTCGAGCAGATGACTGGGGGCTAGAAAGGCGTCAGTGGATGGCACAGGAAGAGTTTTGAGGAAGAGCTGGAAGGAGAAACCTGGCAAGAAATCTGCTGTTCTACACAGACCTGCAGTGGGAAAAACAGTTTAAGACTTCTGAAGGAACAAAGTAATAAAACTCACAGAGCCCAGGAGTAGAAGAGATTCAATACTTGCCAAAAAGCATCAAAACCAAGCTCATGGACACGCATTAAAAACTGAATTCCTCCAATTCATGAATTCCACTTTTTTGCTTCAGGACTGAATTCAGTGATATAACTGTTCCAAAGTCACAAAATGTGGCAGGGACAACAAAAGGTCAAGACCAAATTCCTTTTAGTTAAAGAAAACTGGAAAAGATTCTGTTCCCGTATTCATCCAGTAGAGATGAATAATTTTTTAATTATTAATTTTATTTTTTCTACTCAAGCCTGCCAATGTTGTGGGTTTTTTGACTATATGAGGAATGATCTGAAGTCTATCAGCTCACAATTTAATTTAAAAAGAAATAAAACCAAACAAGCAGAAAACCATCCTGGCATTACATATCATTTTGTGCAAAGCCAGACCTTTGTGAAGGTCTTTTTTTAAAAAGCTAAAAAGTAAATGGTTTTAAGGAAGAACAATTTACCAAGCCCTTCAACCAAGAGCAGCTATTTTGCTTACAGTGACCAAATCAATTCCTCCACACATCTGCAGGGAAAATGGGATATTAAAACACTTGAATTAAAATTAAAAATAATAAAGAAATCCTAAGGACCAAGCATTAGACTGTGAGTATTACACAAGTCCCATCCCTGAATGAAAAAAAAACAACCAAGCATTACAGATGACAGCATATGCTACAAAAGACATTTTATAAAAAACTTTCAAGTATCATCAGGGAATGTGTTATCAAAGAACCTGTGCAAACCACCCAAGAAATTCAGGCCCCGTCCTGTACACAAATCCCTTGAGAAATTACCACCAGACAAACACAGATAACCATATATTGCTCTTACAAGAAAAGGCAGCTCCAAAGAGCTCAGAAAAGTAAACAAGGGACAGGTAAAACTGCCTTTATTGTAATACCTGTTCAGCACAAACAGCATCAGGGCAATCCAGGAAAGGTGCAGACCATTATGACTGAAGTGCTCAATTTTGTATTTAGCATGGAACATGCAGGTCAGCCAAGATCTGCTCCTGACACTGCGGGGTTTAATTTTAATCTTTAATTTTGCTATTTTTTGAAGAGCAGGTCAGTTAAAAGTTGCAGCTTTAGACATTTCAGGATTTAACATCAGGAACACAAGTCTTGGGTCTCACAGGCTCAGTCCCCTCATTATCCTCAGACTGGTCTTGCCTTCATTGTCACAGACTGTGCAATATCTGTGGTTTTGACCCTCTACACTGAAAATTCCCATGGGATTTCAGATGTGCTCCGTTGTTCTTCAGGTCTGAGATCATTTCTAAACACCAACTCTTAGTTCTCCCAGATCCCATCAGACAGTTACACAACCCAGTTCCAGAACACACTGTCACACATTTGCACAACAGCCCTGTTTGCTGCAGGACACCCATGATCTTGAACACGTTCATTCTCTGTAAATATTATCTGAATTCTGCCTTGCACATCAGCAGTGACTCACTGCAGGTAAAGGTTTAGTACAACCTGGAGAGACATTTTTATAAAGCTTTGCAAAATTGGCCCACGATTTTCTACATGAACGGGCTGAAGGCTTCATCCAATCCAAAGAAAACAGCTGCACTCAGGCAGGGGTTCATGACTGTATTCTTTAATTATCACCATCAATTATGTAATTTTAAAAAGCAAATTATCAAGAGTGTTTTTGAGATTCTTGACACAGGTGTCTTCACGAAGACACCTTGTGCTTTGAGGTCCTGAGCACGCACTGAGGTACCTGAGCATGGGAAGCTGCAAAAAGGAACCAGTTCAGGGAGGCAAACGAGCTCTCCAACTTTGAATTACACAGTGGGGAAAACCTGACTCAAAGGAAACGTGTTCCTCTGGCTCTAAATGCAGAATCTGAGAGTGTAAAAACAAATTATAAACATTAGAAAGCTGATTTGTTTGTACTGCAAGGAGGAGAGCAAGATGTCTCGTAACGCTTTAGGCTTTAGAGTCAAATTTACACCAAAAAGAGAATTTTTAAGTTTGTTGTAGAAACAATTGATTGGAAAGGAAAAGCTTATGAGTGTCCCTAGCTAATGAATGAATACCTTGAACTAAGGAAAAGCATTTCTGAAGTGTGGTTAGACAATGTCCTTAGGAGATGGCAATTCTCAGAGCACAGCCTGGCTTTCCTACGTGTCACCACAGTCACTGCAGGTTGTTAAAGTTGTATGTGAGTGACCATAGAAATCTTCAAAGGTGCAGGAGACACAAACATTGCTGTAGTCAGTACTTACTAACAGTTTTCAAATGCACTGAGCTTGAAAGAAAATAAAGTCAACAAGGTAAAACACTGCAGCTTAAATGTTTAATGCTTATTTTGAAGAAAATTATTTCCAACATAATTTAAAAAAGAAACAAAAAAAAGGGACATAAAAACAAACAAAAAACCACAACACAGTATAACATACCTGGCACGAACAGCACAGAATTTTGCTGAAGGACTTTCACCCAACCAGTCATCTGAATCTTTGGAAGAAAAATATGCAGTGAGAGCCTTTAAAGAAAAAAAAAGGAAAAACAAAACCAGGTTTGTCTGAAAACAAGGTACAGACAGATCTCACCTACAGTCCTAATGTTCTTGACTGACAAACTTGCTGAAAACACAGGTGTCTTTCAATTCATAAAAATGTTACCTACACTACAATAACAATATTCTATCTTTGCCAAGCATCAGCCTTTGTGATCCCAAAACCAAGAAACAGGCCCCAAAAATCTCCTCTACAAATACCTGAAGTCTCCTGTTACTGCTGTTCCTGTTGTCAAATGTGAGTTCTACAATATCCCCAACCATTAATGCTACAAACTCAGTAAGTACAAAATACAATCAAAGTTTAATGCAGGTTCTCACTGGTGAAATCGGACATTTAATGAAATGGATTTATTTTCCACAAATACAAGGTATATGTATCTATATACACAGATTATAAAAATTACAAGCCACTTCACAAATAGCCTTGTAGAGAGAAGTAAGGTCCCCCCTGAGCCTCCCCTTCTCCAGACTCAACAAGCCCAGTTCCCTCAGCCGTCCCTCAGCAGACATGTTTTCCAGAGCCTTCCCCAGCTCCGTTCCCTTCTCTGGACACGCTCCAGCCCCTCAAGGGCCTTTTGGCACTGAGGGGCCAGAACTGGACACAGCACTCCAGGTGGGGCCTCCCCAGTGCCCAGCACAGAGGGGCAATCAGTTCTCTGCTCCTGCTGGCCACACTCTTCTCCACAAAGGCCACCATGCCCTTGGCCTTCTTGCCCCCCTGGGCACACTCTGCCTCATATCCAGCCCCTGTCAAGCAGCACCCCCAAGTCCCTTCCTGCTGAGCAGCTCTCCAGCCCCTCTGCCCCCAGCCTGGGGCGTTCCAGGGGGTTGTTGGGACCCAAGGGCAGGCCCTGACACTTGGCCTTATTGATCCAGCCTGTCCAGATCCCTCTGCAGAGCCTTCCCGCCCTACAGCACATCCACACTCACACCCAGCTCAGTCAGTCTCCCAAACAGGACAAAGTCTGACCACCAGCAGTCCAGGGTGTCAGTTCTGCTGCCCCCTCCTTCCTCCACCCAGAATGGAAAACTCCATCATTTTGGGGTCTCTGTGCCCAATGGCTCTGACCACCACATCCTCCACCAGTCACAGAATCATGGAATGGTTTGGGTTGGAAGGGACCTTAAAGAGCATCTCAGTCCAACCCCCTGCCATGGGCAGGGACACCTTCCACTGGACTCAGAGCTCAGAGCCCCATCCAACCTGGCTGTGAACACTTCCAGGGATGGGGCAGCCAGAACTTCTCTGAGCAACCTGTGCCAGGATCTCACTACCATCACAGTCCAGAAATTCTTCCTAATATCCCATCTAACCCTTCCCTTTCTCAGTGTGAAGCCACTGCCCCTTGTCCTGTCACTCCAGGCACTTGTCCAAAGTCTCTCTCCATCTTTCTGGTTGGCTCCCTGAAGGGAAGCACTGCAAGGCCACAATTAGGTCACCCCAAAGCCTTCTTTTCTCCAGCCTCAACAATCCCAATTCTCTCAGCCTTTCCTCACAGCAGAGCTGCTCCATCCCTCTGATCCTCTTACTGATCCCCTCTGGACTCACTCCAGCAGGTCCATGTCCCTGATGTGCTGGAGCCCAGAGCTGGAGGCAGCTCTGCAGGGGTGACAACATTACAGCCATGTGTGTTCCAGCAAGGACACTGTGGAACCTCCTGGAGCCGAGGGGTCACTGTGAAACTCCAAGGCCTCATGAAATCAAAGGAACCCTGGGAGACTGTGGAAACTCATGGAACCAAGGGTTCCTTGTGCCATGGAAGGCCTCATGGAACCAAAGGAGCCCTGAGACATTTCGGGCCCTCATAGAATCAAGGGGCCATTGTGACACTGAGGAACCTCGGAGACTCAAATACCACTGTGACACTGCAGGGTCTCATGGAACCAAAGGATTCCTGGGACACTGTGGAATCTCATGGAACCAAGGGGCCACTGTGACATGTGTGGCCTCCTAGAACCAAAGGAGTCCTGAGACATTTTGCAAACTCATGGAATCAAGGGTCCATTATCACACTACAGAGCTTTATGAAGCCAAATGGACCCTGTGACTCTGTGGAACCTCATGGAATCCAGTGGCCATTCCCACACTGTAAAACCTCATGGATACTGTCAGGTTCCCATTATTAAAAGACACCTCTGCCCAAATCCAACTGCAAAGGAGACCATGTGCCAAAGTCAGCAGTCCAGGTTTGATTTAACAGTAAATATGAGGTAGAGACAGAGAAAGTCAGTCCCAGTCCTGCTGCAGGACTGTCCAGGGACTGCAGGCAGGGACAGCCACGGGCACTGCTGGCACAGAGCTGACCTCTGCAGCAGCACTGCCATCCTGCAGGGGCATCTCCTCAGGCCAGGGCCTCAAAGCTTCAATCTGCTTTCCACTTTGCTCTCCAGGATGTGCCCAACACAACGCCCTGCAGAGGAAACCAGCAGTGACCAGCACAAGGGGGGGAGTGCTCAGGGTGGGGGCACCCAGCAGTGCCCTGGCACAGCCAGCGCCGCTCCCAGCACTGGCCTCTCACCCCAGGCCATTGGGCTTGTTCTTCCCTCCAAGGAGGGACAGCAAATGACCAGCTCAGGGGTCCATGTTTGCACTGCATGGACAAGACATGCCCATGTGTCACGGTTTGGGGCTGGGGGGTGGAAGGCTTAGACAAAGTTGATGGCAGAAGCTGTCTCGTTGAGCTACGAGGTGCAGAAAGGACCCCCTTGCTTTCTAAATTCCTTCTCAGAGAGGAGCCTGGGGGTGGCTGGATCCAATCTCAGACTCAGATTTTGGTTTCGATTGAAGGAATTATAGAGGTGTGATTCAATCACTTTGTCCTGCAGGTTTTAGTGATGGCAAATCAGAAATATTTCTATAAAATGAATTGTTTATTATGACAAATGAACAGAAAATTGATCACACAATTGAATAGATGAAAGACCTTAAAGAGAATTATTTCCTGCACAGTATTAAAGCATAAACCTCCTAGTACTATAGTGTACAATAGGACAGTGCAGTCTATCAAAGTAATTCTATTAAAGTATTAGATCAAAGCCAGCAAAAAGAAACAATCCTGAAGCAGACATTGAGATAACTCATCCCACAATGACAGGGG